CGATGAGGCAGGGCAAACGCCCAGTGGCTGAGTATACACAAGAATTCCGGGCCATTGCCAGCAAACTGAATTGGCCAGAAGACATCCTCCTTGGCCATTTCAAAGACGGACTAAACTATGATCTATATGATGCTTGCCTGCCCCGAGGGGACCCACATCGACTTGAGGAATGGTACGTCTTGGCAGAGGAAGCAGAGATCGACATATTGAAGAGGCACCGCCGAGGAAAACAATGGAGCCGCCCCCCGCCTGAGCTGACACACCAACCGGTGAAATCATCGGATACAGCCAAGAAGCAAATGAGATGTTTCAAGTGCGGAAGAGAAGGGCATCGAGCTGTAGAATGCCGCTCAAAGGCCCCCCAGCACAACCCAGACAGATCCCCAATCAACAAACCCGGAAAGTATTCAGCTAAGCCAAAAGAAACGGCCATGAGAATGATGGAAATTGCAGAAACCCCCACCTCTGCTCACCAAAGGGAAAGGACTCCAGCCTACACCACAGGGCCGGTGGATGCCTCAGATGACAGCTCGGAGGGCGAACCCCTGGTAAGTGGATGCATCACACCCATCTTCAAAACAGTGACTATATTAATCCCCCCCATGCCCGAAGCTGTGAAGGTGAAAGCCTTAATAGACTCTGGCTGCACCCGCTGCCTCATTAGCCCAACACTAGTGGGGAATCTGGGCATCCCATCCAGGAGACTGGAACAACCAATCTCATTTGGCCAGCTAGATGGATCCATAGCAGGGGGGGTGCCAGCTACCCTAGCCACTTTGCCAATACATCTCTCCCTGGGCAACCATGAAGAGGACTTAACGTTTGTGGTGACCCCAGGTATGGAATGCCCAATGATTCTAGGGATGGAATGGTTGAAAAAATGGAACCCCTGGGTAAATTGGAGGACGACAGAAATCAAATTCCCGAAGGGGGACCCTATGGACTTAAAACCCCAAGGGAGGCTACCAGAATCAAGAATAGAAAAAGCATCCATAGGAGAGGAAAAAAGATTAACAGAAATACCAGAGGAATATAGGGACCTTGCTGAAGTCTTCAGTGAGGAGAGGGCGAATGAGCTTCCCCCCCACCGACCCACAGACTGTACCATTGAATTCAAGCCTGGGGCAAAACTCCCGAAGCCCAGATTATACTCCATGAGCCCAAAGGAGAAGGAGGAAATGGAAAGATTTATAAAAAAAAACCTGGAGAGAGGTTTCATTGAGCCAGCCAAGCCTAAAGTGGCTGCCCCGGTCCTTTTTAGAGAGAAGAAGGATGGCTCCTTACGTTTATGCGTGGATTATAGGGCCCTGAATACAATCAGTGAAAGCAACCTATACCCGCTGCCCCTCATGAAAGACATGCTGTCACACCTATCGAAAGGGAAAATTTTTTCTAAACTAGACTTAAGGGAAGCTTACTATCGAGTAAGAATCAAGGAAGGGGACGAATGGAAGACTGCATTTAACTGCCCCATGGGGTGCTATCAATTCAAAGTCTTGCCATTTGGATTACAAGGGGGCCCTGCAGTCTTTATGCAATTAATCAATGACGTTCTAAGGGAGCACCTGTTTAAGGGGGTCCTTGTTTACTTGGACGACATTCTTATCTTTACCGAAACAAAAGAAGAACACGTCAAACTTGTCAGAGCGGTTTTAAAGAAGCTGCGAGCCGCTCACCTATATGCCAAACTCTCAAAATGCGAATTCCACCAGGAAAGGATAGACTACCTAGGCTATCGCATATCCCCACAGGGCATTGAAATGGACCCAGAGAAGGTCAGAGCAGTATTAGAATGGGCACCACCCCGCACAAGAAAGCAACTACAAAGTTTCCTGGGCTTTGCAAATTTTTACCGCCAATTCATCCCCTCATTTGCACAGATAGCCTTGCCCCTCACTAACTTACTAAAAACGAAGGGAACATCCTCAGTAAAACCTAGCCAGCCACTAAAATGGACAATGGAGTGCCAAGCAGCGTTTGAGAGACTAAAGAGACTTTTTTCTGCCGAACCAGTACTAAGGCACCCAGACATGGACAAACCCTTCATAATACAGGCAGATGCAAGTGATGTGGCAGTGGGGGCTGTGCTATTACAAGAAAATGATGATGCAGTATTGCAACCCTGTGCATATACATCTAAGAAACTCACGGAAACAGAACAGCGCTGGCCCGTATGGGAGAAGGAGGCTTATGGGATACGTTGGGCATTACTCACGTGGCGACAGTTCCTGGAAGGCAACAAAATCCCCTTCCAGGTATGGACTGATCACAAAAATTTAGAAGCCCTGAAAACTCCCAGGAAACTCAATCCCAAACAAGCCCGCTGGTCCCAGCATTTTCACCAATTCCAATTTAAGCTCAAACATTTACCAGGAAGAAAGAACTTCCTGGCAGATGCACTATCTCGCATGCCCCAATATAACAGCGCACGAACCACAGACTCTAGACCAATAATGGCAGAGTCACAACTGGCAGCGCCAGTAACCACAAGAACCCAAGCCAAAATAAAACCACAACTGGACAGCCAAACTGGGATTGAATTCAGAAAAAGTTTGGAAACAGATGATTGGTTCCAGAAAAACAAACATGTGTGCACAATGAGAGACGGATTGCCTTGGGTAGGGGAAAAGTTATATATACCAACAACTCAAAGACTAACTTTCATGCAACTTTGCCATGACACAAAATCAGCAGGGCATTTTGGATTTGTAAAAACTTTACACTTAATTAAACGGCAATTTTGGTGGCCATCAATAAAAAAGGACATAGAAAGTTATGTTGCCAGCTGCCCAACCTGTGCATCAGCAAAGAGGTTGCAAGGGAAATCGCCAGGGCTGTTACAACCAGTGGCAAGTCCCTCAGCCCCCTGGAGGGAAATAGCCATGGATTTTATAGTGGAATTGCCTGAAAGCAATGGGAATACTGTTATCTGGACAGTCACGGACCTATTTTCCAAACAGGTGCACTTTATCCCTTGCCAAAAAATTCCCACTGCAAAGGCCTTAGCAAAACTTTTTATCCAGCACATTTACAGATTGCACGGGGCACCCCAACGCATCATCTCTGATAGGGGAGTGCAATTTACGTCTACATTTTGGAAGGAATTTTTATCCCTCTTAGGGACCACTCAGGGACTGACATCTAGCCATCACCCTCAGACAGATGGACAAGCGGAACGCTGCCAGTCGGTACTTGAGCAATATTTGAGATGTTTTTTAAATTTCCAACAGAGTGATTGGACGGACTTACTTCCTTTTGCAGAAGTTGCCTACAATAATGCAGTCCACTCCAGCACAGGCTACACTCCTTTTCAAATAGCCAACGGCCAAAGTTTCAACCCTATGCCAGAGTTAACCCCAAAAGAACCAACGATCCCTTCACTGAAAGAATGGATGGAAAACCTACAAAACACCTGGCCAATAGTCAGAAAATCACTAGATGAAGCTAGGCGGGCATACAAAGCACAAGCCGATAAAAAAAGGGTTGAGCCTACACCATTCATTATAGGAGAAATGGTGTACTTATCTACAAAATACCTAAAGTCCCTACAGCCCTGTAAAAAACTTGGACCAAAATATATAGGACCTTTTCCAATTAAAAGGATCATAAATCCAGTAACAGTAGAATTAGAATTACCCAAAAACCTCAGGCAAATACACCCAATTTTTCATTGCAGCTTGCTGAAAAGAGAGCATCAGTCACCTCTACGGCCAAAAATCCCCCCCCCACCACCTCCAATCATGGTGGAGGGGGAACAACACTTCGAAATAAAAGAGATCCTTGACTCTAGGAGATATCGTGGAACAACTCAGTACCTAGTTGCCTGGAAACACCTCCCTGCCTCACAAAATGAGTGGGTCCATAAACGTCACGTCAGAGCCCCGAAGCTATTGAAGAAGTTTCACACAGAGTATCCTAACAAGCCTAACTAAATTTTTTACTTGTGTTTTCTTTCAGGTGGATCTCTCTTATTGTTAAGAGGGGCCGGATGTCAGAATCCAATTATATTTCATCTTTAATTATCAAACATAGAAACTCCCAATTCTGCCTTCTCTGGATTCTGCCATAAGAGGGAGAAAAGGGGGAGAGCAAAGGGGCTTTATGGCCCTCACTTCCTTCAGCACACTTCAAAGGACTGAATGTGTGTTTATTGTGGCCTCTAAGCTTTAACATATCAAAGAAGAGTAATTGCCTTTCATGTAGTTATCTGAAGTCTCCATCCAGACGGAAGAAGAAAGGGGATGGAATTGTGATACTTGAAACTATCACTGGAAGGGGGGTTGATTGGGTGGGACTACTGGGGAACCCCTTAAAACCTTGAATGGAAGAGCTTGAACCCCAAGTCCTGTCTAGCATGCCTGCAACCATTTTCTCTTAATAAAGGATTCCTGTTGGAAGAATTATTCCAAGAGTTCTGTCTTCTTAAGATGCAAAGTGGGGTGGGTCCTCACAATAACAATGATTACAGATTGAGAGCTTTTGCAGATGATCTAGTTCTAACTTTACAACAACCGATTCAATCGGTTACTCATTTATTAGAACTTATAACTCAATATGGAAAAGTTTTTGGTTTCAAAGTTAATAATTATAAGACTAAGATATTATCTAAGAATATGACTGAGAAGGATAATGAAACTTTAGCTAGACTTACAGGTTTTCAGATAGTGAAGAAAGTTAAATACTTGGGAGTGTATATAACTGCTTCTAATGGAAAATTATAACTGAGAATCTCCATAGACATTTAGACTTTGGGATGAACACTCTTTGAATGGTGGGAGAGTATAAACGGATTTCCAGAAAATATTGCAGACTACAGGAACCGTCTGTGCTTCTGTTTGAGATTCAGACGGCACAGACAGTGCTATTTTCAACAGTGAAAGGACACAGGGCAGAAAACATCCTGCAGCCAATTTGCACTTCTTAGGTGACTCTGAGGACACAGTTAAACCTCCAAAATGGTTTCAATGACTCTCTAAAGGAATGCAAATGACCATCTGTCTTCAAGCAATATAAATCCTCCCACTCCCCACCATCTAGTCAGAGATGGAAAAGCTTCTTGGATGAGAAGCAAAACTTCTTCAAAAGAAACACAAGAAAGTCCAGTTGCCTTCTGAAAAGAGCATCTCTGAGGCACTCAGCTTGTTGCAAAAAGCTTCTTTGAATGATTTCCCTGTTTGCGAAAGGATTATTATTTCAAGGAAAGTTTTTTCTTATTTTGGGAGACTGCTCCCCAGTTGATTTTCTTTTTTGGGGAGGAGGGCTCCCTATACATGTGTCTGCTTCCACATGAATTCATGCTGGACCCTTTTTTCCTTCTAACCGTTCTGCTCTGCTCTGTTTCTTCCCCCTACTGATGGCAATGGCAACAATAGAGGCATTCAGGATCAAATAGAATTATTTCATTTCAGGTTTATTTCATATTTCATAGCTAACATTTCCGGGGTGGCCAGAAGCAAATATTATTAGTGTCAATAATTACTGCATTTGTGAATACAATCTTGCATGGCATGAGACACTATACAATAAGAACATCACTAAAAATTCAGATCCTAAAAGGCTATACAAAAGAAAACTACAGAAACAGTAGTTTCCCAATTGCCCCTGGGAGCCTGAGTGAAGGTAACAACAGGTGGTCAACCTCAATTCTTGTGCAGAAATTTCCCAAGTAGAAGTAGTCTGCTCAGAAAGCCAGACCAACCCAGCTCCTGCTCGTGTACAAGCATCATAAAGAACAATAGGCAGATTCACCTGAGTCCCAGTTGTGCTTCAGGCTTCTTGGTTTCAGAAAGGGGAGAATCTAAGAGCTCTAAAGCAGGCTAAGCATCTTACTGAACAGAGCAGATAGCAGTGGCCAGATGTGATATGATCACCAGTAGACATGGCAAACATTGTCTAGCAAATGCATTTTGTGCTGGTTGAACATTCCCTTTTTCCAAAGCAACCCTGGAGCAGGAGAACAAGTGTTAATTAAGGCCCTGGACACTATGGCTTTAATTGATTCCTGTAAGAACTTTGTTGGGGCCAGTTCTCAGAAGAAAGCCATGTCTTTCTTTCAGCAACCTTTCTTTGTGTGTTTAACTTTGGCCTGCAAAGTAAAGGAGAAGCATTGCAATGTAGGGCACTATTCCTTTAATAGAATTATATGCCACTTGAGAAGCCAACCTGAGGCCGTACCATTAGAACCACTTAATAACAAAGCAGATCTACATAATATTTGAGCCAAGCCAAGCAAGCTGCCGATGGAGTATACAGGAACCCAGAATTGGATAGGCTACAAAATTCAGACCTACCAAACAGTGCCCATAGTGCTGCTTTTAGCTGCATCTGCAGGCCTGGAAAAGGTCCCTTGAACCTTCACTCCAAGGGCTGAGTCCTCATACGCAACAGCAGAGAGTTGAGCAATCCAATTTTGCAGGAGATCCCCCATTGCCCGCTTTCTTGTTCACTTTGGGGAGGAGGAGAACAAAAGACATGGCCAGAGCACAGTGGTAGAAGCTATGCACGTAGGTGTAATCCCAGTCCTAGGAAAAGGCAAAATTGGTCACATCAGCATCAAGAAAGCCACATCTAGATGTTGCATATTATTCTCTCTGTATTCTGGATCTCTACTGCATTTGTGGAATGAAAGAAAAAAGTTTGAAAGGTATTTTTAAAAGAGAGGTGGAGCATCCTTAGGCTAATGATGTGGGTCCTAGACTGCCCTTATTCAGACAAGATTTACGCCCAGAGATCAGTGATTTCTTTGCATATACAGTATGTCATCATTCTACACCATCCTTTATGTTAGCCAAGAATCAGCCAGGAAATAATTCCTTGACATTCCCATTTGGCTACATTGGGAAAATATGGTTATTTCTTTTGTATATCAGAGAGTTTCAACTTTCAACTCTTCCTATCTCTTTTCCTGGGACAGCATCCAGACAGCTTGACAAAGACTCTAGGACCAAAGGGTGTCCTCAAAGTGAAGAATGGACAAATTGCTGTGAACAAGGACAAAACCTCTTCCAGGAAACAAATGGGTAGCTATTGGATCTCAGGGAGCTAAGTAAAAATTGTAGGAGGAGAGCTACATTAGTCTCTATGAGAAATAATCCTTGGACCCAGAACCCCTGAGGTGATTAAACTGCTTAAGAATTTCAAGGTGGATGAACTGATGGGAGGGCACTCCGTGTTCCTGAAAACTAGTGACTTTTAATGAAATGGTCTTAAGAAAAGATCCTACCAAACCTCTCTTGAAGGCGCCAGGGGTGTGGGTGTAGGAGGGCCATCTCAGAGGCAAACCTAGAAATACAAGTATATACATTTCCTTATCTGCATCACTGCATATCGATTTTTGCACCTTAAACACTGTTGGCAGGAGAGGGGGAAATTCAGTCTTCACCCTCCCAGAAACCTCACTATGGATTGCTAGATTAACATCACCATCAGCAATGGCAGGAGACTATTGCTTTCCTCACTGTTTGCAGCCCAGCTGCACTTGGTGTGTTGTTTGTGCTGCAAAAGGGTGTATGTTTTGCTGGCGGAGCAGAGGAAGAGCCAGGAGTGTTCTGTATATGCCACTGCTGCTGATTATGCTGTGGAAAAACATGCATTTTCCCTGCTAATGAAAGTAAAGGAATGAAAAGAAGGATTAGGGGTGACGTGATAGTAGCGTTCCAATATTTGTGGGGCTGCCATCAACCTATTTTCCAAACACCCTGAGGGCGGGGCAAGAAGCAACGGATGGAAACTTATCAACCTAGAATAAAGGAGAAATTTCATGACAGTGAGAACAATTCACCAGTGGAACAGCTTGCCTCCAGAAGTTGTGGGTGCTTCATCGTTGGAGAATAGACTGGACAGCCACTTGTCTGAAATGGTATGGGGTCTCCTGCTTGAGCAGGGATTGGACACTAGAAGACTTCCAAGGTCCCTTTCAACTCTGTTATTCTGTTAAGGCAGTGGTTCCCAACCTGTGGGTCGGGACCCCATTTGGGATCGAACGACCATTTCACGGGGGTCGCCAAACCACGTGGTCCGCCATTTTTTTCCCTTTTCCCTAGCTGTCCTACTCCCTCTTATTGGTGGCCACACCCACTTGGGGGTCACCACAACATGGGGAACTGTATTATGGGGTCACGGCATTAGAAAGGTTGAGAACCACTGTGTTAAGGAGTCACTTTCAGAGAAGTAAATCCCTAAAAGTCTCAGATTAAGCATATCTCATTGTTGTCTCCAAAAATCCTCTTGTTTATCTCAACCCATCTTTTACTAAAAGATCTGAGCAGTCTTCTCATCAGAAACTCTGTGAGACATTCTGGGGCCAGGGACAGATCCATTATTCTCCTAGTCATCCTGAACACAGAGCTCCCAACTCACCCACATCTTATCTGCCTGCGTGCATGGATCTCTGCTCCTCATACTTCAATATTTGTAAGCAAGCCGAAGATTGCCAAGGGAACCATATGAAGATTAATATCCTTGAGCTGTGTGGTTTCTGATGGCAAATTGAATATTTCTTGTTTTTCCCCATGAATCATTTTGCCTTCAGAGATCCAACTGCCTTGAACACCTTGAAAACCTTCCCTGCCTCCTCCTATTAAAGTGCCCCTGGATCCAAAACCCGATTCTGTTGGTAGTAAGATTTGAGCTGCCAGGTCCCTTTTTTTGTGTGCCCAGCAGCCAGTAATTGTGCTGACCAAACAGGGTTGCATGCTTAGTTTGGATGCCAAGCTGAATACAGTTACTTCACATATTTAAATCTATTTTAAGTCAATTTTTGTGATAGGAGGTTGGATGGGATGTCCTAACAATGACATGAGTCTTATTAAGTCACTCTCACATTAATGCCTGTAAATGCCTTAAATGTTAAATGTGTTTTATTGGTTTATTTCTTTTCTATCTAGACCAGTGGTTCTCAACCTGTGGGTCGGGACCCTATTTGGGGTCGAATGACCATTTCACGGGGGTCGCCAAACAATGCAGTCTGCCATTTTTTCCCCCTTTTCCTTAGCTGTGCTACTCCCTTTTATTCTATTGGCTTTTGAAAGCCAATAGAATTAGACTCTCTTGAATAGAGTCTAATTTTATTGGCTTTCCAAAGCCAATAGGAATTGTCCAGGCTGTCTCTGCCCTGCTGAGCCCGCCAAAAGTCCCAGTCTGCAAACGGTGCTGCACCAGTTGAGTAGTCCTCGACTTACGACCAGTTGAGTAGTCCTCGACTTACGACTGGTTGGGGGTCGCGGCATTAAAAAGGTTGAGAACCACTGATCTAGCCTTTACTCTCATAGCCTTCTGTTTCTCTCGAATGCTCAAGTTTTCCCAATTCATGAAGTAGCCCAACCAGCACCACCTTTTGTTCTTCAGGAGGTCATTGAGAAATGTATGCATATAAGTAAGAATATTAATTGCATATTTATGTGCTTTTAGACCTTCATGGCCCCTTCCAGCCCTATGATCCTATGTTTTCTTGACAAACAGTTCTGCCTGTGTTGCATATAACATCTGGACTTAGGTTTTGGCCTTGAAAAATTTAAGGATCACAGCTACAAATTCCCATCCCTTAGTTCTTGTTTTTAAGAGTTCATGATAGCCATTAAGGATTTTCATCCACAATCCATTTTTAGTACTTTGGCTTCCAAATATCATAACTTTGGACTTTGGAGAATTTATGGCACTTTAGGCACCTCCTTTGACATTTCGGCTCCTGAACAGAAGCTCAGGAAGCGATGAGCACCTAAAACAGTGATTCTCAATCTGTGGTCCGTGGACCCCTGGGGGGGGGCGCAATGTCACCACAGTGGATTTGTGAAAGTTTGAAGAAATGTTATGATTTAAATCCTGAGTTACGTCTGGGGGGGGGTCCATGGGCACGGCCGGTGGCCACAAAAGAAATTTAAAGGGGGTCCCTGGTGAAGACAAGGTTGAGAACCACTTACCTAAGAGGAAGTTGAAGCCTTCGCCAAAGTGCCATCAAAGGAATTTCCTCAAGCTCTCAAGCTTGGCCAGACTAAAATGGAGGCAACTGAGAACAGCCTGGTTGTGACAAAGGATCAGTGATAATGACCCTGATTCATATCTGTAACAAGTATCTCAGCACAAAAGCCAGAGGCAGGATGGGACCACCTAGATACCCCTGGACCTGAGGTGTGCTCAGGTATTATGCTGAGGGGAGGCAGGTGGAATCAGCCAGTAGCAGCTGGAGCAGTTTGGCCAAGAAGCCTTTGTGCCTCAGAGACACCTGTGGAGCAAGAGCAATGATGCCTGGAGCTCAATGCCTGACTACCCGTTGAGTGGTGTCCGCGAAAACTCTTAGGGCTTCCCAAATGACCCTAAACCTTCCACCATTATGGGTTGAGAACCAATGCCAGAACCCCACCCCAGAATCTCTTGGGAGAGGAACTGCCCACTGGGAGTCTTGATAATGCCTCTCCTCCGTAATTTGGAGGGTGGAGGCCTGGCATTCAGCAGCGGGAGCCACCAGAGACCAAGGCTGCCAAGGACTTTCTTGGAACCCAGGAACTGGGAATGGATGCCGTGTAAGATGTCAGGTCTGCCTTCTCTTTTCCTGCCTCTCTCCCTGATCTGAATATTCCCTCAGTTCCATAAGCCACAATGCCCAGCTGCTCATTCAGATTCTCCAGTGCCAACTGTCCCAGACAGCTGCATCCAATTGCCCTCCACAGTTCTCATCACCTGCCCCTCAGCACAATATCCACCCCCTTCCTCTATCTGTCTGGCAGATCCTGCCTTCACAAGCTAAGGTAGCAGCTCCCTCTCCCCAGGGCAGCACAAGCTGACTTTTCTCCCCTGTGCTGCAGTCCATGTCCATCCACAGCCATGAAATCTTCATATCACACTTAAAGCTTATCCGACTTAATGATTTATAAACCAGTCGAAGGTCTGGCCAACATTCCAAATATTCTAATTGATGACAGAGGAGGCAACACACAACTGTGTCAGTTGACACCCAACCATTAGGACAGTTGTAAGACTCTAGCCAGTATTTTGCTTGCCAGGCAGCCTAATTTCAGAAGGACATCTACACCCTCAAAGCTGGCAGGCCTCCAGCTTCCACCATGCCAAAGATTTCCAGACTTTTAAAGACAATATTTGACCTCCTCCTCCTCCTCTTCTTTCCATAGAGAATTGTTTCTTATTCTGGGACAGGAACATGGAAAGGGGTCTTGCCTGTCTAGCTCAATATTGTCTTTGTTGGCTGGAACTGACCCTTGAGAGTTTCCGACTAGAGATTCTCCTAGATTTCACTGGAGAGTTGGACTTTTACTTTGCAATCTTCTGGATAAGGTTCTGCTCTTCTCTTCCTCGTAGAAACAGAGAGAGAGATAAGCTTTTGCAAACAGAGTCCTGGAGTCTCTGTGTTTTGGTTTTTTTTATTTGGTTGGCTATTGCTTGGGATGCCTTTTACTTCCATACTGTTCAATAGCCATTTTTTTGCAGTTACCAATATAAAGGTATTGTTTAAATTTTACTGTTAATGAAAGGAATAGTGCATGAGAGGACGGTAATATCTAAGTAACCACATGCTATATTATGGCAGGATCAAAGGGAGGGAGGGAGGGAGGGAGGGAGGGAGGGAGGGAGGGAGGAAGGAAGGAAGGAAGGAAGGAAGGAAGGAAGGAAGGAAGGAAGGAAGGAAGGAAGGAAGGAAGGAAGGAAGAAAGGAAGGGGAGACCTGTAACTTTGCTTAACATTGGTGAAATAGAGATATAGAGATATAGATAGATGAGAGAGAGAGATCAATAGAGATAGATGATAGATTCATCCATTCATTCATTTTTCTACAATATGTCTTTGTTGTCCCAGTCATAGACGCCTAAGTTAGCCACAGTCATGTACACACAAACTCCCCCCCCCCAAATAAATGATTTCAATGGAAATGAGACTGCCAGCTTGGACTACGCCATTCCCCCATTCCTTTGTCCTGGGACCCACCTGGCATGAGCCACCATTTTTCATCCTGTCTCCCTCCAGAGAGGACAGCTAAGCAATGCAATTGTCCACCCCAGATATTAGATCCTTGATAGAGTGAGGCTTAAGCTATGGAGACATGAAAATAGAATGGTGTGGGTAATATTGGAGAGGGGCCTTCTAAAGAAGCAGACCCCCACCCCTGCTCCTCAAATCTCTTTCTCCATGCAAGAGAAAGGGGAGCAGTCTTCTTTTATCTATTGCTGGCCAAAGACAAACCCCCTGAAGCTCCTCACTTCACTCTGCTTCACAAAAGACCCAGAGGAGGACAGTCTTCCTAGTAGGTTCTCCCTGAAGAAGGGATGGTCTCCACCCAGGAACCCCCCTCCACCCACCTGAAGAAAGATTGCACTGAGGATGGCAACTGCATCTGAGAATCTTGCTCCTTTCATCCCTCCAGAAGCAGGAACTGCTCTCTGGCACGCATTGTCCAGAGCTGGTGTGAGAGAGCGAGATCTGCCTGGCCAGCTTTTGGGTTTGGTATTAGCTGAGACCTTCCCCTCCCTGGAGGGCAGGTGATTATCCATGAGAGGCACCCAGAGACCTTGGCCCACAGATTGCTGGTTGCCTGATGCTGTTTCTTAAGCTGGGCACCAGGAAAGGACCATTGGAATTATAGCAGCCTCCTGCTGCACAGTGACTTTCCTACCTGAATTCCTGGACAATAAATACTCTAAAGAATTCAATTCAGTTCTGTGGCTGGGTTGGTGGTTGAGTTCCCCGTATGGCTGTATGGTCCTGGGGGACTTTGATCTATCTTTGCTGGGTGCAAAGCTGGAGGGTGACCTGGAGATTGTAGACAACATGGGGGCCGACTTGGAACAGCGGTAATACACCCAATCTGGTTTTTCAGCTGGGGCAAAGGCAGAGTGTGCTGCATTTGGGGGAACATACGGATTTCTGACCACTTGCTGGTCAAACAGATCACTTGCTGGTAAGACCCCACCCCCCTCTGCAGGAAGGCTGGTCCTATTGGATTGTCCCCCCCAAAAAACTAATGGACCCAACAGGCTTCCAGAGGGACTTTGGGGTTATTCTGGAAAACTTGCTACTCAGCAGCAGCTTAGGATCAGATTCTGCCTGAGTGGCTTCTCTATGCCCATGGTTCCTAATATTTCCCATAGTATAAGACAGAATGGAGAGAACTTAAATGAGCTAGCAGACACCTAGAGCGCCCCTGGTGGAAGATAGAAGTGAAGACGACTGGACACGAGCTCAAGCTGCTATTAGAGCGTACCATCAAGGGCAACAAAATGCAATTATTTCTTCACGTGTCTTGTGTCCATTTGTGGTCACCCAGCCACCCTGTGTTGGGTGATGCAGCCCCCCCTTGGAGGAGCAATATTGAAATTCACTTAAAGAGGCTCTGTGAGTGATAGGCTGCACATCTGGCAGACAAAATTGCTTGCATTTGCTGTATGTTGAACTCAAACTTTAAAGCAGAATTGAGGGAGGTGGGAAGGGGGCTACATCTTGCAAGATGACCTGGGAAGTTTGAGCCTGCAAAACCTGAGGAAGTGGGCAGGACCCTCTCAGTTTGACCATCTGCGTTGGATCCATGCCCCCCCCCCCCGCTTCTTAAGGCTGTGCGGGAGGGCCCTGGGTGATAGTTAAGTCCTCCTTGTATGAAGGAGGGGTCTCTTTGCTAAAGCATATAATTCAGGCCTCTTTCAGTTAAGGTTCAGGCCAAGTTTTGGACTAAGACAGCATTGATCGTGCTCGTGGATGACCTCTGGCTCTTACATCCTGGCTCTTGCTGACCTCTCAGTGGCATCTGATACTATGGATCATGGTGTCCTTCTGGACTGACTCTGGAAGCTGGGCCTGGGTGGCCCTGCATGCTGCTGGTCTTCCCCTTTCCTCCAGGCTTGGTTCGAGTTGGGGTTGATGCGGGGGTTGTGTAAAGATTCAGCCTGAGGCTACTACTTTACATTCCTGCATGGGAGGCCTTGCTCCCTGTCCCCAGGCCCTTGTCAGCTCTTATTTCAACACACTCCACATGGGATTGCCCTTGAAGAGCATTCAGAAACTTCAGCTGTGCAAACTGCAGCTGCAGGGTAATAAAGGGGCTGGATACCCAGCATATGCAACACCACCACCACCTGAGCTACATTGGCTATGGGTATCTTTCCAGGTGCAATTCAAGGTGCTGGTTATCCCCTTGCTCTGAGTGGTTTTTCTCTTTTGCATTTGATCGGACAAGCTTACCTCAAAAAAAAACCTCAGCATCAAAGCCAGGGCCCCAAAACAGAAGCCGGGTCCAACCTGCTGTGTGTAGACGCTCTTATCTGGATACAGCCCTTTCTTCTCCTTCATCTTTTGCAGCTGGAGAAAGAAGAGAGATTACAGAGATTGGACTTTCTTCAATCACCACAGTCAAGTTTAATTTTAAACCCTAGTGATGCAGGAAAATTCCATCACACAGTTATGCTTGTAGTGACATATTCTGTATCCCTCAAAATCCTATTTGAATATAGTGTTGCACCTGTCTAGTTGAAATAGGTTCAGTGGGATTGCCAGGTTAGGACCTTTTCTTACCTACTAAGAAAGTTCAGTTTCCATTCGATTTTGCTAGGGTGCGGGGGTGGGGTCTAATTTATCTCTTAATTTATGAAATCCCCAAGTGGGGTGGGTGGGCAAGGCCACACTGCTCTTTGCAGGCCTCTCACTGCAACATCTGGGACATCCCATGTTCCCACTTGAAGACATCCGATGAAGGAATTATAGTTCCCGGCTCAAATTGCCCTTTTTGTTATAATGTTTCTTCCATCTCTCTCAACAGAATCTGCTTCCTATCATCTAAATCCATTATTCTGGTAAAGATGCTGATGTTGACCTTCCTCATTATAGCGTTCTTTCAGATAGTTGGAGAATACCGTCATTTCCCCCCATCCAAGTCTCTTTTCTAGAGGTGAGACATCTTCAGGACTTCAATGTCTCTTCACCATTCTTAGTCCTCTGATTATCATTCTTTTCGTGGTCCCATCAAGATCATTTTGAAGTTTATTCCAGTCTCCTTTGCCTTTTTTTCCACTAACAATGGGGTGTATTTACATTTGGCCTTTTCTTTCTATTGCTAAGGTGATCATTTTTGCTTCTAGTTTGATCATGATGGAATTCCTCGGAGGAAGCCTCTGAGGCCTGCAAAAGCTATAAATGGTGCCCAGTCATGACATGAAGCCACAATAGGGCACTGTTGTAAGAGAATGGCAATTTTCAATGATGAGAGAATCCTGTCCACTGTCACCAGGAAACTAATCGCTCCCTGAAATTGGGATAATTTTAAAGTTCTTTTCAGATTTCAGTTGAAGTGACCCTTATGTGACAGCACTTTTTTTACTGTGACAAAGAGGTAGCCTTACCCATTTGACTGTTATCACAAGAACTGCTGTGCCAATCGGTCCAGAATAGACACCATATCCCCATCGGTCATGGTAGATCCTGACAGCTATAGTGAGCACTCCAAACATCACCAAAGTTGATCGTTTGGGTTCATCAAACTCTGCCAAAGCTAATAAAATGACAAGAATTGAAGTACAACCTCATTTAAAATTTCAACTCTTACCAGTACACACTTTTAAAGGTTCCCTGGAACAGCACCTAGTTGACCTGATCTTAAAAAAAAAGCAGGGTTAGATCTGGTTGCTGCTTTAGTGGAGCCAGTTGGAAAAAGGGAGGCCAAAGGGGAAATCATGATGTTCTCTGTGCTTTCGGGCACAGACCTGCAGGTTGGGTAGACATATTCTCACTCCCAAAGCCCTCTATGGCACAGAGCTGAGTCAGCAACCTATGGCCCATAGGCTTGCATCTGGCACACCACCAAAATTACCCAACCCGTAGTCCCAAAAAGAAGGAGCCACCTGGCCCATAGGTCTGCAGAGCACAACAAAGACATCTCTATGATTTCCCCCAGAATCCTTCCAAGTACCAATGTATTTGTTTACAAGAGAGGGATTATACATGAGAAAGAACTTGGGAGGCAGGGCCAAGAAATGGCTGGATAAGAGACTGCAAAGCCTGCAATTGGACAGTGGGTGGGGCAAGAGGCCCAAAAGAAAAGAGCTTCCTGGGTTCCTTGGATTGGAAAGGAGACAGACGGAGATTTGTACTTTCAGACTTCCAAGATTCTGTTAAAGTCGATTTATAACAAAATAGAAATAACTCAACTGGTCATATTTCCTGTCTGGCCTGCCAAGTAAAGGCTGACAAGGAAAGTGCATCTGCTCACAGACACAGCCTCTCCTCCCTATGTGGAAGAAGGTGGCCAAACCCTGGAACAGAGCCTAGCGACTTGAGGCATTGTCCCTCTTCCCTTGTTTCTTCCTATGTGGTCAGATAGAACTATCCTGTCTCTTAAACAATGCTATGTGATTGGACCCAGGAAACAAATAAATTTGCCCCCATAGTTACCTGCACCTGGTTTTTGCTCACAGTTTCCCAAACAGTGTTAGGAGGAGGGTGGTGAATTCCTAAGAGTGGGGGGAGGCTATGGAATACAAGAGTGCCTTCTGTTGCTGGTGAGACATTATTCACCAAAGTCAAGTTATGAAGAATGTTTGAAACAGACAGTTTTTCCTAAAACAAAAGAACTGAACTCAATTGGTAAACTATGAACCGTTGATGGCATAGAGGGGAAAAAGGGGTTTTACCTATGTAGGTTTTTGCAGGAAAATCCCAGAATTGACTTTGTTTCTGCTGAGCCTAGATGGATCTTTTAATAAAGCTACACTCTTGGACATTCTAAAGAGCTGGGGGTTTCTTTTCTTGAATATGCCAAATGGAATGGTTGACACCTTTTCTTTGGAACAGCAGCACCCAGAGGTCTGAACAGCCCCAACTCTGCTCCCCTTTAGGTGGACCTTGAAGACCTGACTCAAGTCCTGGCTTTGGCTTATAGATAAGGCATTCCATCTGAGAGGTGGTTGTGTCTCTTCCATTTTTTTGTGGTCTGGCATCTTTTTTCCCCACAATACAAAATAAGAGGGTTGAAAGGGACATTGGAGGTTTTCTACTCCAACCCCCTGCTCAAGCAGGAGACTCCATACCGTTTCAGACAAATGGCTGTCCAGTCTCTTCTTGAAAACCAACAGTGTTGGAGCACCCAACTTCTGGAGGGAATCTGTTCCACTGGTTAATTGTTCTCACTGTCAGGAAATCCCTCATTTCTAGGTTGGATCTCTCTTTGATAGTCTTTCATCCTTTGCTTCTTCGCCTGCTCTCGAGTGCTTTTGGCTATAATAGGTCTCTTCTTTGTGGCAGCCTCTCAAGTACTGGAATACTGCTATCATGTCATCCTTAGTCCTTCTCTTCATTAGACTAGACATACCCAGTTTCCTTCCCTAAGAAAAACTTTTCTCACAATTGCATTTTGTTGGATAAGGCACAATGCTCACATCTGTCAAGATCTTTCTTGATCTTGAGTCTATCTTCTAAAGCATTGGCTATTCCCCCCGGGTTGGTGTCATCTGCAAATTTGATGAGCTTCCTTTCTATCCCTGCATTTTTAGTTTCTTTGCTTTAAATGCATAGGCCACCCAGAATCATTGAGAATGTTGGCAGTTTTGGAAAGGTCAATGATAAAAGAATTACGAATATAAATCAATGTCTATGGTGGATAGAAACTTTGGGAAGCCTTTGTTTTAGGCCCTTAATGTGTTGTCTTCTTGTGTTCATAAAGAAATTAGTCCCATTTATTTCCTAAATACATTTAAGATTGTAGTCTTTATATTTCTGTTTAGATATAGATGTTGGAAATCCAATACTTAATAGGAATATAGGAATATTCTTTATTGGCTAAGTGTGATTAGACACACAAGGAATTTGTCTTCAGTGCAGAAGCTCAGTGTACATGCAAACAACAAAGTGGTGAGTTTGTTGTAAACAAAATGGTAATTGCTCTGAATGTTGTGTATTGTAATGCAGGACTTTTCAACCTTTTCACAGATTGTACTACTTTTAGGACATGATAATATTTGAGTACCACCAGTGTTTAGCAAGGTATCAAAAACCTGATGACTAAAAAAAATGGGGGGGGGGATTTTGGATTTTACTGATTAGATTCATTTGTTGTAATAGAAATGGCTAGTTTATAATATTATGGAAAAGTAAAAAGTTGTGGTTCAATGTTAATGCTTCTTTCTACTGAACAAAGGAAGTCAGAAGTCAATGCCTTTTCTTTTCTTTTTCCCTTCTTCCCCTCACTTTTTCCCCCTTTTTCCTCCCCACTGTGTCCTACTATTTCCTTTTGTATTTTTGTATTTTATTCTATAATCTAATAAAATGTTACAAACTGTAGAAAAAAAAGTAAAAAAAAGTAAAAAAAAGTACCGGTTTTAATTTCTTCAGTGGCAGTTCTTTGCTGAATCACTTCCCTTTGCACTGACAAATGTATGATGAATTTATCCATATTTATTAATATGCACCACTACCAGCTGGCTGGTCGGCCCTTCTTCCCCTCTCCCTCTCCTTCCACAGTGTAGTAAGAATGCACACATACACCCAATCCTTTCACTGTACCCCTAAAGACACAGGAATCAAGTGCAAAGTAAGAAAGGCTCACAAAAGCCTCCCAGAATAAAGAAACAGTAAACTCTGGGGTTTTTTTTCTTTAAGCTGCCTCAGGTATGTTACGCGTCACAATGTTGCAATCTGAGAATGAAAGGGTCCGGCAATTGCAAAAGGCAATAAACTTAAATTAAGCCTGTTTACCTACAAAGAAAACTTGCTAAAAGCTCAGGATAAGGGGGTAAAACTAATTATATTTGTTTAAAGGGATTAAACCTATGGAAGCAAATACTTTGAACTTATTGCTAATCTTTGTGAAACAGACTAAAATATTTCAGTAAGCAAAGCACACAAACCAAGCCTCTGAATTACAAAACACTGTAAAAACTGCATAAAAGTCCTTATGGTAACCCAATCAAGCTGCTGATCCAAAACTAAATAAACCAACCTCCTTTCCGGCATGCTCATCTCCCAGCTTTTCATTTCATCAGTGCTGATTGCATTCTCCTGGCTGGAGAAAATGAACCAGGGGGCCTTTTCTTCCAGCAACAGCTTCTTCTTCTTCTCCTTCTCCTTCTCCTTCTCCTTCTCCTTCTCCTTCTCCTTCTCCTTCTCCTTCTCCTTCTCCTCCTTCTCCTTCTCCTTCTCCTTCCCTGTCTCTTTTTTCCTCCCTGCCTACTGAGCTCTCCTTCCACAGCTTCTTCTCTGTCCTCTTTCCCACCAAAACCACCTCCTTTTATAGCCTCCTCCACCATCTTTTTCTTTTCAGTTCACCTCCAGCAATGGAAGCGCCAATCAGCTGGAGCCCTTCCAGCACTCCTGGAGCTTCTGCCGAGCCCGACAGTCCTGCAGCTCCAGCTGCCTCTCCCTCAGGCTTGGGTCACTTCAGCTCATTCCCCTCCCCCACTACATTTGTCTAGGAGGATCGCATGACACCTGCCATGTGCCAAAGTATCCCTGTTGTAATGCAGCAACCTAATGGAATTTCTGAAAGTTGGGGCAGGGCAGACAGAAGGTCTCTAGGTGAATCAACATTAAAAAGTCACTGCTTTTAATTGGCTTTAGACCCTCAAACTGGAAACCCTGTGGAAAATACTTTTGCTGCAGCTAAAGCTTTGCTCAGTTGAATCCTGAACCCGGTGAATAAGAACCTTGTGGACATAAATGCTAGCAACTGAGGCTGAATCACTCCAGTAACATTAATTCCTAAGATTTCAACTATGCCCCATTCCTTCTGGGACCCATCTTTTTTTAAATCTCTTCCTACATTGTTTCCTGTCTTGATCTGCTGCAATTTTCTGCACTTTGATTTGACCATTGAACTGTTTTGTTTCAGAATAGAATAGAATAACAGAGTTGGAAATCATCTAGTCCAACCCTCTGCCCAAGCAGGAGTCCCTACACCATTTCTGACAGATGGCAGTCCAGTCTCTTCTTGTAAGCCTCCAGTGATGAAGCACCAACAACATCTGAAGGCAGTCTGTCCCATTGGTTGATTGTTCGCACTGTCAGGAAATTTCTCCTTATTTCCAAGTTGAATCTCTCCTTGACCAGTTTCCATCTGTTACTCCTTGTCTGGCCTTTGGATGATTTGGAAAATAGGTTGACCCCCCCCCTCCTCTCTGTGACAGCCCCTCAAATATTGGAACACTGCTATCATGTCTCCCCTGGTCCTTCTCTTCACTAGACTAGCAATGCCCAGTTCCTATAACCATTCTTCATCTGTTTTAGACTGCAGCCCCCTAATCATCTTTGTTGCTCTTCTCTGCACTTTTTCTAGAATCTCAACATCTTTTTTGTAGTGTGGAGACCAAAACTGGTTGCAGTATTCTAGGTGCGGTCTTACTAAAGTTTTATAGAGTGGTATTAATCCCTCATGTGATCTTGATTGAATCTGTTAATGCAATTTAGGATTGTGTTAGCTTTTTTGACTGCTGCCACCCACTGTTGGCTTATATTTAATTGATTGTCCACTAAGACTTCAAGATCCCACTCACAGTTGCTGCTATTAAGCCTGGTTTCACCCAATCTATATCTGTACATTTGGTTTTTCTTGACTAAGTATAAGACCTTATTTTTCTCTATGCTGAATTTCATTTTATTAGATAGGGCCCAGTGTTCAAGTCTGTCAAGATCCCTCTGGATCTTGAGCCTATCAAAGAGGGTGTTGGCTGTTCCTGCCAGTTTGGTGTCATCTGCAAATTTGGTAAGTTCCCCTTCTATTCCCTCATCTAGGTCATTTATGAAAATGTTGAAGAGTACTAGGCCTAGGACAGGACCTTGTGGTACCCCACTCCTTACTCCTCTCCGTGTAGAAGTGGTGCCATTGAAGACTACTCATTGAGTACAGTTTGCCAACCAGCTACAGATCCATCAGGTAGTGATGTCTATTCCACCTTTTTCTAGCTTACCAAGGAGTAGGTTGTGGTCTACTTTATCAAATGCCTTACTGAAATCTAAGTATACTACGTCCGCAGCATTTTGCTGGTCTACTAGTTTAGTCACTTTATAAAAGAATGAAATAAGATTGGTTTGACACAATCTGTTTTTAACAAACCTGTGTTGGCTACTGGTTATAACTTTGTTTGCTTCTAGTTGTTCGCAGATCTGTTTTTTGATTATCTTTTCTAGGCTCTTCCCAGGTATTGAGGTTAAACTGATTGGTTGGTAGTTTCCTGGGTCCACTTTTTTTTCTTTCTTGAAGATGGGAACCACATCAGCCCTTTCCCAATCCTCAGGTACTTTCCCAGTGCTCTAGGATTTTTGAAAGATATGGTGCAATGGTTCTGAGATAACTGCCAGCTCCCCCAGAACTGGGATCTGTCGATCCTGGTGATTTATGTTCATCAAGACCAGACAGGTGTTTTACTTTGTTCCTTCAATGCTTTGTCCAGTTATGTCCCTGAATTTTGTCTTAGAAGGTTACTTGCATTTTCCTTGAGCTTTTTCTTGGCTTTCTCATTACAGCGCACATCCTGCTCCCTCTTGCTGCTCTCTTTTTTTACAAAAAGAGAAAGCATGTTGTGTGCACCAACATGGCTCTAGGGTGGAGACTGTGCACGTGAGGAAGAATGTGTATGTGACAAAGAAGGGGGACATGGACTTCTCTAATATTAGCCATTTTTATTAGGAGGAGGTCTTGGAGCGCTTTTTCTTAATGCTGGATATTGAAAAGCTGAGAGATTACAAGGCTCAAAGATTTCCTATGCAATTTTGGTTATTCCCTTCTTCAGATTTCCTTAATGCCCCCCCCCCCCGACATATACTCAAAAGAAGCAGCCATTCTTCCTTACCTATCAGTGAGACCCACATGGATAATGTGGTTCCAAAAATACTAAAGTATTGCAGCAGATCATACTTCATGAAACAAAGGAAGGTGAGCCCGGGGCCTTCACAGGCATGGCAGACCTGTTGAGAAACAGTTGCTTGTTTATTTCCAGGATTTCTGTGATAAAAATTGTAATTTAAAAAAAGCTGTATCAGAATCCTCTTGTTTGAAAGACATTAACCCTCCCCCTTTACTTTGTCACGATAGTCCAGTGGGTTGGTGTCATTGCAGAAAAGATCTTGATCATCTGTGGACAGAGGCTATAGTCTCAGAGGACAGAAGTAAGTTTTAAGATTTTTTGCAACTTATGTCATTAAAAATTAAAACCAGTTCTCTGAAATGACCAGAAACAAAAATGTTAAACCATGCCAGACTTGATTGACCTCTGGCTCCTTGCCTGACCTGACTTTTTTTTATACTTTAATTAGGCTTACATGCTTCTGGCCCACTGCGCCATAGGCATTCTTTAGAAATAGACAGCTTGGTGTTTTGATTGGCAGCCACTCAGATAAACAATAAAGATTCGTAGGAGTAAGAGGTATGTAGGTATAGACACTGAAAAAGTGGTCAGCGCTATGTAGGAACCACAAGTTTTCCTTTCCATTTCTATCAGATGCGCAGATTATTGTCTTGGAAGAGAGCTGTAACTGATATGCTGTTGAGAAATAGATGAGGGAGGGAGGGAGAGAGAGAGAGAGAGAGAGAGAGAAAGAGAGAGAGAGAGAGAGAGAGAGATAGAACGGTTTCCACAAAAACTTGAAACTTTGCCCATGAAAGTCCTGTGACCCCCTGGTTGTTTCTGCTGGCACCAAAATCTTCTCTGAAAATTCTCCTTGGTGTTCTGTGTTTCTCTTCTTGTGTGTAAAGGATTTTTTTCCAGGCTGTTAAACAACTTGCTTTTTTCAGGATCCGAAAGGCAAAGATCCCTGATTGAACTGGGACTTGGTTCATAATATATCATTGTCTCCAGAATTTAACAGTCCGTTACAGCAAAAAGAACTAGCTCAGACATGCATTGCAATGGGGGGGGGGGGGTAATCAAACATGTTATGGGAAAAAGATACAGAGGAAGAAAAGCACACAGACATTACTTATACTATTTTCATGCAAGAATACAAAGCCACCCTCTCTTTTTTATGAATGAGAATTCTTATTTAAAGTTTTAGTGGGAAGGAGGACTTACCAAGATGAAGAACATGGTGAAGAAGTAGACCATGGCCTCCATGTGAAACTGCCTCTTGGCTGCAATGCTGATGGTGGGGAGGAAGGCAAGGCTGCTGAAGGTGGGCAGGAGGAACTTGGCAGCTAAAGAGCCCATTGGGAGGAGAGCAGCTCCTACCCCCTGGCTGCCCAAGAGACTGAGGAGCCCAGGCCAGGCCTTGGGTGTGCTGTGGAAAGGGCAGTTCGGACCAAGGACAGAGTCCTCGCATGCCTCCTTGTCTCTTCTCTTCTTCAACGGAGAACAGTTGCTGAGAGCCCACCGGCTGCTCCTTTTCTCGGCTTCCACTTGAACAAATGGCCCCTTCCATCTACCAGGAGGAGGTTTCCCTCTGCAGCCAGCTGTCTTTGGAGCAATTCCTGAGAAGGGCAGATGGGGAGGAGGAGGAGGAGATCACTCTTGGTCGTTGACTGAGCCCTTTGGAATAAAATGTTCCCTATTGAGGCAAATGTGTGGGGAGGAGAGGTCCGGGGTCTGGCTCAACACAGAAGGGGATTTGATCTGCGGAGGCCCATGAAGAGATGGGCAAAGGCCATAGACAGGATCCTTCTTCCCCACAGGAAAATAGGTCCTTGCCCCAAGGAGGTTTTGGGGTTGCTGAGGATGGGCTCCTGGGCTCATGGCTCCCAGCTGCCTGGCCCCAAAGGACAGGGATGGGGAGTCAGATGCTCTCCGCCTTGTCAAAGCTGTTTCCTGGCCTCTTTAGGTGCTCACTCTGGCACATAGAAGTACCAGATTACAGCCTATATAAGGAAATGTAAATGCAAGTAAAACACAATTAAAACATGTGACAATTTAATGAATAAATTCCAAACCTTTATTCTTTGTTGTTTATCAGCTATGTATGCCACCTGATTCCCATCTTAAAATAAAAGCCTCAAAATAAAAATCAGCATACAATCAGAATAACAAAGGTGGAAGAGACCTTGGAGGTTTTCTACTCCAACCCTCTGCTCAAGCAGGAGACCCTATACCACTAATTAATTAATTAACCATTAATTAATTAATTGTATATCTATTCAAAAACATCAAGACTAAATTGCAAAAAAAGAAGCCCTTTCCCAGAAAGGAACAATGCAGCTCAAATGGGAATGGGGGCTCCCCTGGACCTCAGCGTTGGCTCAAATCAAGCCAGGCCAGGAGAGTCAGGCAAAAATCTAGATGGTTGACTGGATTTTGACCAGCAGGATGACTTTGCTGATACCACCACCCGAAGGCCTCCTTTCATCTTCCACTTCATCTCCCGAGTGACATGGCTGTCTCTCGGGGACACTGCTGGATCGAAAGAACTTTCAAGGTGCAACCAATCTCCTTTCTGTTGGGAGAATCAGGAGAAATAACCCCAGCCATGTTTCCTGGGCCACTTTCTGTGTCTGTTCTTGCAAGCCTTTCTTGAATGTTTTCCAGGGTGCTAGTGAATGGCATAAAAACCACCCTGGCCCATCCATTGTAGTAGGTATTCCCTTGTATATTTTGCTGTTGGATGCTATGTATGATTTTTCTTTCTATCATGAAGGAATGTTTACCTTTTCTTATTTTTAAAAAATAAAAACAAATTATGTCAAATTTGGACCCTTTGAGGTTAATTTCCCAGTTCCACATCTCAAGCACAGAGCCAGGAAAATGGCACTATAGAACCCTTCTCTTTGACAAGGTTGTATTTTCCTTCTTTTTATATTTCCTTCTTTTTACCCTCTTGCTTGCTGGAAATGTCTATGGGGCTGCTCTGCCAAGTCAGGACATGCAGCTCCATCACAAGATTACAGAACTACAGAGTTGGAGGTCTTCTAGTCCATCCCGCTGCTCAAGCAGGAAATCCTATACCATTTCAGACTAATGGCTGTCCAGTCTCTTCTTGAAAACCTCCAGTGATGGAGCATCCACAACTTCTGAAGGCAAGCCATTCTACTGAATAATTCTTCTAATTTCAGGAAATTTCTCCCTAATTCCAGGTTGGATCTCTCCTTAATAAGTACTTCTAGAGTCCTGGGCCAAAAACAGAACTGCATCCCCCAGAGAGAAAGGGGTGTTCAGGGTTTCTTGATTCAAAAGCCTCTGGAGAGGAGTTGGGATTTATTTATTTGATGTATTGATTGATTGATGTAACTGTGAGAGGGACCTCGGAGTCCTAGTAGACAATCACCTAAATAGGAGCCAGCCGTGTGCTGCAGCTGCCAAAAAGGCCAACACAGTGCTAGGCTGCATTAACAGAGGGATAGAATCAAGATCACGTGAAGTATTAATACCACTTTACAATGCCTTGGTAAGGCCACACTTGGAATACTGCATCCAGTTTTGGTCACCACGATGTAAAAAAGATGTTGAGACTCTAGAAAGAGTACAGAGAAGAGCAACAAAGATGATTAGGGGACTGGAGGCTAAAACATATAAGGAACGGTTGCTGGAATTGGGTATGTCTAGTTTAACGAAGAGAAGGACAAGGGGGGACATGATAGCAGTATTCCAATATCTCAGGGGCTGCCATAAAGAAGAGGGAATCAAGCTATTTTCCAAAGCACCTGAAGGCAGGAGAAGAAGCAACGGGTGGAAACTAATCAAGGAGAGAAGCAACCTAGAACTAAGGAGAAACTTCCTGACAGTGAGAACAATCAATCAGTGGAACAGCCTGCCTCCAGAAGCAGTAAATGCTCCAACACTGGAAGTTTTTAAGAAGAGACTGGACAGCCATTGGTCCGAAATGGTGTAGGGTTTCCTGCCTGAGCAGGGGGTTGGACTAGATGACCTCCAAGGTCCCTTCCAACTTTACTATTATTATTATTGATTGATTGATTGATTTCTATCTCAGTTAATGACTCTGAGTGGCTTACAATCCAGGATTGCTCAAGAATGTCTGGAAATGGTCTCCTTCCCCTCAGAGCAGTTGGTGGGTTGATTGATTTCTATCTCAGTTAATGACTCTGAGTGGCTTACAATCCAGGATTGCTCAAGAATGTCTGGAAATGGTCTCCTTCCCCTCAGAGCAGTTGGTGGGTTATTTAGACAGCATGTGGTGGCACACAGAAGGTCTGAGGAGACAAGTGGTAGATTCCTCAAAAGTAAGAGTTGGGATGGATCTTGGAGACGATCCAGTCCCGTGTCCTGCCCAGAGCAGAGATGGCTAAAATGTCCCTGACAGATGGCTCTCCCGACTCTGGGCAGCATTTATTCATAGGGAATTCTTTCTGAAGTCCAACTCAACCCGCTTTGTCATTATTTAAATCCAATGTTTTGTGTCCTGGAATAACTGTAAACAAATCTGTCCTATCTTCTGGGGCACAGTTCCTCACATACGTAACAACCGTGACTGCATCACCTTGTGGGTCCACCCAGCATGTCTAATTCTTTCTCTTAAGTCTTCTATCCATCTTGCTTGATCAGTTGTTCTCAGAGCACAATTGACAAGCTGCAGTCTGACCAATACAGACTGCATTCACAGCAACAGCAATCTCATCTGATCCTGACATTATGTTTCTGTTAATGCAGCCTTGGATTGCATTTATTGTTTTTAGTTTTTGATTTCACAGCTGCATCACACTGTTCAGCTTGTGATCCACCAAGACACTTAAAACCTTTTCACACGTACTGCTGTCCGGTGGTATCCCATCCAGGTGAAAAATTTTTTTACAAAACTATTAGATCAGTGCATCTGCACGTTAGGTGTTTCCCCTCTTCATCAATTGATTTTTAGATACAAAGCGGATGCAAAATTGAAAGTATCGAATCTGATTCTGGATGGCCTCAACAGAATCCTGCTCTAGGGTGTCAGGAACTTTACATGTCCTGTCCCAGACTCTTGCCTTTGAATTGCTTCATTTGCCCTGGTTGAAATCCATATTACTTCTGTCTGTTATTCCAACCGTCAAGATTTTCCTGCATTTTGGTATCTTCTGAGATGTTTGCTATTTCCCACATCAGTTTCTCCTCTGCAGATTTGATAGTAAAGTTGTTCATTACCTCACCCAACATATTTATAAATAAGTTGAACACAAGGCCTACAATGGAGCCTACCTACGTTCCTGCCAGCTCCATATAAAACCATTAACAGTCACTGAACCAGCTCTGCATCCAGTGGTGGCATCTGGCAGGCCTTATTTTGTCTGGTAGGATCTCAACGAAAGACTCTTCCAAATGAGTTAAGGTTAGATAGAATCCTATCACAAAACGCACTATTTTTTTTCCAAATGCTCACAAATTGTTTAACCCTGTTCCAGAATTTTTTTGCCTAGTATTAGCATCAAGCTGACTGGTAGTTACTTGGCTCTTTTTTCAAAGACAGGAATAAAATTTATCCTTCTTAGATCCTCTGGCATTATAGCAGGTAGTCAGTTATGTACTCTTCACCTACGGCTTGACTACAGCAATGCACTCTACCTCGAAGCCCGCTAGAACCTTTGACTGGTCCGTAATGTGGTGGCATGGGCAGTGATGGACACCCATGTAATCAGTGGAACAGCTTGCCTCCCAGAGTTGTGGATGTGTCAGAACTCATTCTTCTCCGGAGGGAGGGGCAGGGGGGATTGACTTCACTTCTTTCCATTTCTTTCTGTGGGTTCTGCCATTCTCCTGAGGAGGGGGGGGAAAGCTGTGATATATTTTTCTGCTTTGCTACAATGTATCCTTTCCACTGTTTCTACATACTTACTCTTTGAATTGTCTCTCCCTTGATGTCAACCTGGGGTGAGAAAGGAATTTGCCTCTGGCCATCTGGCTTATCTCTCACTGTGGAAGGGAACATGCAACAACCCAACAACATCTTTACAGGCATGGGAACGGACCCCATTATCCGCTTCATTTCCACAGCGGACTTAACACCTGGGGATTGGCCCATTCAAACTGACCAGATGAACTGTTGGGGTGGGGTTTGCTTGGGACTCTTTTAACCTATTGATCTGAGCAGGAAACCCTCAGATCCTGCCTTCTATGCCTGCTATCAGCTTCTCCTAATAAAAGTTCCTTTTGGGATGAAACTGTTCCAAGAGTCCTGCTTTCTTGGGATGAGGTTTTGAAGTGGGCCCTGACAGTAGGCAGGATCTGCAGTAATAGTCAACCCGGAAGGAAGACCCTTGCTGGGGGGCTAAGCAAATGATGACTGATATCAGAACGGAAAGGTAAGAAACTGTCACGGGAGGGGAATTCTCCCACCAAGCAGAGCCCAACCTGTCCACTTCTCAATCCTTGAGCTCACTGGAAAAGGTGGTGGCCATGGAACACCGCCACAAACCCAGGTGGTTGATGGACATCGGGAAGAAGGAGGACTGGGATAAGAGATCCAGGAAAGTGATGCTCAGCCGTGGCAGTCACCAGCCAGGTTGGAAAGTCGAGATGGAGAGGACACTCCACCTTAGTGAAGACAAGGACAACCCACTCCAGCCGATTCCTGGAACAAGCCATCAACATGTTGAGAGTCGCCTTTGATTCCACGAAGGAGGAGAAAGCCGACCCATGCCGAGGCACTGCCAATCCAGGCTCAGCTGAGGGGACAGATGAAGGGGGGGTGAACCGGCAGTCCCAGGCCCTTCTACCAGCATCATAGAGGCAGCAGCCATCGCTACAGCCACAGCTATCCCCGGGCAAGCCGCACCAGCTGACAGTGATGGCCACCGACACAGGAGACAGAGGGAGCATCGGTCCATCCGAAAATTCCCGCTGTTAGGAGTGAGATACTGCAGGGAGCCGCACTGACTGGGGTTTTTCCTGACTCAGGTGTTGAACTGATCTCCCAAAAGGCCGCCAACTCCTACCCAGTGGCCCTGTCCTCTCAGTGCCTGGTCAGGGCTGGAGGCGGGGAGGCCATGCCAGGGGTCCAGCCATCGCTACCCAGGCCTTGCTCTGTGTGGAGGACAGAGCCCCATTGGAGGCTTCCTGACTGAGGCTGCGGAGGGGCACCCAGCAGGGCAGGGCAGCCGCCAGTGCCCGGAACCCCCAGACGGCCACCGGCTTCCCCTCATCGCTGCTGGCTGTCCGGGCTCTCCAGCCCAGCGCCCAACCTCCCCCTGCAGCTCGTAAGGCCAGGGTCACGGCTGGAGTGCGAGCATGGCCAGAACCACTTGGCCCTCCGGCTGCCTTCTCCCAGCCATGCGGCGGACCCGGCAGCGCCGCCTGCCACTTTAAGGGGAGTGGCCGCAAGGGGGTTGCCTGCCGCAGGATGCCTCCCTCAAGTCTAATTTCGTGAATATTTTCCCTTTGGCTAAATGTCCTAGCATGTCCTTCATGAGAGGGAGGGGGTACACACACCCTGTTAACCCCACAGAAATCCACACATAATCTCAGCGACCCATCTTTCTTTTTCAACAGTACTGGTGCCGCTACTCGGGATTTCGCCACTTGGATAAACCCTGTTGCTAAATTCTTATGAAAGTACTCCCTCAGCTCCTTCATCTCCTTCAGAGTCATGGAGTACATTTTCAGTTTAGGAAGTTTTGCCCTGGGCAGGATCTTGATAGCACTATCTGTGGGGCAGTGAGGGGGTAGGACATTGCATTCTCTCTCGCTAACACCTCCGTGAGGTCTTAGTACTCCCTCTGGATGGATTGCAGTTCCTTCCCCTCCTCTGATGCTTCCTTGCTGCACTCAGGGGGGTTTTTCACACCCCCTCGCTCTCTGGCTACTTTCTCTCCTTGTCCAGAGGGCACAGGGCCTTCTTCCTCATAACCACACATTTAGAGGCTTTCTTCCAATAGATCTGCCCCCCCACTTGGCTAACCAAACCAGGCCCAGGATCATGTCCTCTACCATCTTTGGGTGACTAGTCTCTTGGTGGTTCCCCCAATTCTAGCTGCACTGGCTCTGTCAAATGGGAAGCTTCCTATCAGTGTGCCATTAACCTATTGAAACTTCACAGGTTTCTTGAGCTTCCTCATATCTAATCCTAGCCTCTGCACTGCAACTTGACTAATTAGGCAACGAGTGCTGCCTGAGTCTATGAGGGTCTTTACCATCCCCCTCGCCCCTGATATCCTAACTTCAAGGTGGTTGATAGGTCCACTCACCATCAGGTTGTACTCTCCCTCACTCTTGCTGTTGGAGAGGATCATTGGTAGCTTCCCTTTGGTTGGAGTTCCATCTCCTTCACTCTCTGTGCTGCTCGTGATTTCTCCTTCCCCTTCTTCGGTGGCTTCTTTGGCTTCTAGGGAGTTTGTACCGCGGGAGCCATCCAGGGGGTTGGTGCTGGGCACATCACTGCCCTGTAGCCCTCCTGGACACAGTGAAAGCACATGATGGGGGTGATTGGACGGCCCTGCAGGAACTGGTGACACTGCTGCTGGTTGTTTTCTTCCCAAAGCACGCTTTTCTTGGCTTTTCTTTGGCCATAGTCCAAACCCTCCACGGCCCTTGTACACCGCCAGGTCTAGCTCCACAGTGGTGACAACTGGTACCAATCACTAAACTGATCTGGAATCCCTCAGGCTAGGCATAGGTGAAACATGTCGTGGCTCACCCCTCTTGGACAGGACAAGAGTCAGCAGTCCATCTACATTTAAAAGACAAAAGCCACTCTTTTGAAGATAGCAAAGTCCACATTTTGGACAGAGAAGACCGCTGGTTTGAAAGAGGGGTCAAAGAGGCCATCAATGTCAAAATTGAATAGCCCTCTCTCAATAGAGGAGCAGGGATCTGACGTCATCTATCTACAGTCTACAACACAGTTCTTTCAACAGTTTCAAGAAGGCCCCCATTGGAGCCTGAATCTGCTGAGGAAAATGAGCTGGAGTTGGAGCCGACGGAGATCGAGGGGGAGGCGTCGTTGACTTCGGAGGAATATGGGGAAGAGCAGGCCAAGGCAGGCCACAGCCTTTCAGGATTGGGATGGCTTGAAGGCAAGAACAAGGGCAGGATGAACATGAGAGACAGAGGTCAAGCGATGAGCAAGGGCCACCCCCTCCTGATCCTAGAGCATGAAGAGTGGAGAGAAGGCGGGAACAATGTAGGCAGGCCCAATTACATGGGAGGAGAGTGCCCCGCCCCTCTCCATAAGGCACACCTGGGGACTGAGACTTGAGACGCTGTGGGGAGGAGCATTTGTCAGGAACAAATGCTGAATTCTTGGAGGTTTGTATGCCAGAGTTGTTGGAAACAACTCTCTGATCTTTTGTTCTGTGTTGTGATTTCTACTTGGAAACCCTGAAACTCTGACCATTGGACTGGCTGACAAACTTGATATTTCATTTCTACTTATCTACTCTGGGAAAAACCAATTTCTGCTCTCTCTGGATTCTGTCATACTATGAAGGGGAAGGGGGATGAGCAGGAGGGTTTTATGGTTCTCACTTCCTTCACTAAACTTCAAAAGGACTGGATGTTGATTCTCACCAAGAGGACTGACCATAACAATATGGCCATCGCCTTTCATCTACTGGCTCTCTGAAGTCTCCCAGCAATAAGGAAAAAGGGGGGGGGACAAGGATCGTCCCCTGGAAGGACTGTGGGGTGGGGGGGCTGCTTGGGAACGCTTAAAACATTGAAGGATGGGAGAGAATTTCTCAGATCTTGTCTAGCACGCCTGCCATCATTTTCTCTTAAGAAAGATGCCTGTTGGAAGAAATATTCCAAGAGTTCTGTCTTCTTAAAAGGTAAAGTGAGGTGGGTCCTTACATTAGACAGGATCTGCAAAAATAGTCCACCTGGAAGGGAGAACCTTTCCAGGGGACTTTGCAAAAAAAAAAAAAAACCATGTCAGACAATGGAGCAGGGAAGGGAGAAAGCCCCCCGGAGAGGGAGCCACTGTCCTGACTGAAAACTTGCCAGATGTCAGGATCTGAGAGGTCAGATTCCTCAGGAGAAGAGGTGGTGAAGATGCGCAACCACAAACCTTGATGGTCAATGGGCGCTGGAAAGAAAGGCGAGTGGGAAAAGAAATCAAGAAAGGTAACCCTGAAACAGGGGTCCACCCAACTGGAATGGAAGCAGGAGATGGGGAAATCCCTGTACCCAAGCGAAGAGGAAGGAAGCTGGGCACTGCACTCGAGCTGGATACTAGAGAAAGCTATCGACTTGATGGAGACAACCCTCAGCTCCCTAGGAGAGGAGAATTCTGAGCCCTACGGCCACACCAGCTCCTGGAGTCGCAACGGGAGAGACACTGAGGGGGAAGTGGAACCTGCAGCCCCGGGGACATATGCTGATCCAGTAGTCCCCACTCCCTGCCGATCCACAGATGGTGATCTGGATGGAAGGCAATATCACCGACAACGAAGACAACAATCCATTCAAAGACTCCCGCCACTGGACGTGAGATTCAAGGGGGAGCCGACACACTTGGGATTTTTCCTAACCCAAGTTCTCAGCTACATGGAGGACTAGGGGCGGCACATCCCCAGCGACAAAGCCTATATCAGGATCATACAATCTGCTCTATACGGGCCGGTCGAAGATTGGGTGGTGAACATGCATGACTCCAATGCCCCAGAGCTCAACAACTTCAACCGGTTCATGTCCTCTCTGAGAAGGCAATTTGAGGACCCCCTGGCTGATCGCAAAGCCCGCGAAAGGATAAAAACGATGATACAAGGCAGTATATTCGGTAGCCGAATATACACAACAATATATTGCCAGCAAATTGAACTGGCCGGAAGACATCCTCTTTAGCCATTTCAAAGACAGACTAAACTATGACCTAAATGATGTTTGCCTGCCCGGAGGGTACCCACACCAACTTCACGAATGATACATCCTGGCAGAGGAAGCAGAGATCAATCTACTGAAGAGGCACTGCCGAGGAAAACAATGGAGCCGCTCACCGCCTGAGTCGACACGTGAACCAGTGAGACCATCGGCCATGGCCAAGAAGCAAATGGGGTGTTTCAAGTGCGGGAGAGAGGGGCATCAGGCTGTAGAATGCCGCTCAAAAGCCCCCCAGCACAACCCAGACAGATCACTGGCCAGCAAATCCGGGAAGTCTCCAGCTAAGCAAAAAGAACCTGCCATGAGAATAATGGAGGCCATGGAATCCTCTACCTCTGTTCATCAGGGGGAAAGAACTCCAGCCTACACCGCAGGGCCAGTAGATGCCTCAGACGACAGCTCGGAGGGCGAACCCCTGGTAAGTGGACCCATCGCACCCATCCTCAAGACAGTGACTATATTAATTACCCCCATGAACAAAGCTGTCAAGGTGAAAGCCTTAATAGACTCTGGCTGCACCCGCTGCCTCATTAGCCCGAAGCTAGTGGGAAACCTGGGCATTCTGTCAAGGAGACTGGAACAACCAATCTCATTTGGCCAGTTAGATAGGTCCATAGCGGGGGGGGGTGCCAGCTACCCTAGCCACTTTACCAATCCACCTCTCCCTGGGCAAACATGAGGAAGATATAACGTTTGTGGAATGGAATGCCCGATGATCCTAGAGATGGAATGGTTAAAGAAATGGAACCCCTGGGTGAACTGGAGGATGGCAGAAATCAAATCCTTTATTAAGAGAAAATGGTTGCAGGCGTGCTAGACAGGACCTGGGGCCCAAGCCCTACAGTTCAAGGTTTTAAGGGGTCCCCAGCAGCCCCACCCCACCCCACCATCTTTCCAGTGACAATCCCAGGCTTTACATTTCCACCCCCTTTTTCCTCACTGGAGACTTCAGAGAGGAGTAGATGAAAGCTGATGGCCCCATTGTTGTTTAGTCTTTTTGGTGGTATCCACATTCAGTCCCTTTGAAGTTGTATCGAAGGAAGTGAGGGCCATAAAACCCCTTTGTTCCCTTCATCATATGACAGAATCCAGAGAGGGCAGAAATGGGGTTTTCCATAGTCGATAACTAGAGATGAAATATAATTGGATTCTGACAATAATTATCATATATTCATTTACTTAAAATCAACTAGTTTACTCTCCTTTATTATTTTTATAAATAACTCAAGATGCTGAACATATCTGTATTCCTTCCTCCTTCTATTTGCTCCAGAATAACAACCCTATGAGGGCTGCAACCCAAAGTTCCCCAGCTGGCTTTCATGCCTGAGACAGGACTAGAACTCACCGACTCCCGATTTCTAGCCGGGTGCCTACAGCAATAGACTGAATTCTAATGTTATTCTATGAAGCTTATAAGTCTCTTGTTTATTCACTTCATGTTTTTCTCTATTTTCCTTCATTGTTGTTTGCCTTTCTTTTCTTTTTCATAATGTTTAATTTAAAAAAAATCTCCAGAGGCTTTTCTTAATTAATAAGGATGGTGGGTCAACAGCTGATGTGAAATGCAATATAATTTTCAGCAGCCACATTGCTGTATCTTAGCATGAAGTGCCTTGCTACAAATGCAGCTACGCAGCTGTTCTCCAGAGGAAGCTTAGCAGGAGTGGCACAGCTTCTACACTTTACAGATCCAATTTCTATTTCCAGAAGCTTATTCTCCAAAGGTGGATGCCACATTTGTCCAGCTTTGCTCTGAAAAAGCTTATGAGAAATAACCCTGGCAGCTGCTAATAGCCACCAACTGCTGCTACTGCCCAGATCAAATTAGCACCCTCTCCTTGCCTTAAAGTGAAGGAAATGAACACAAGATATGTAAAGCACAATTCATCAACCGAAGCCCAGAATAATAATAATAAAACTCTTCACAGCAGTTGCATTGATGCTAGAATTGAAAGTTCTTCCAGAGAAACAAAAGGGCTGAAACCAAAGCTAGAAATCCCAGAAGGTGGATTTGCTACCTCAACTGCTTCTTAACCAGCAACAGATTCATCCACAGAGCATACCTTTCATCCCTCCCATACGTATCTCATATTAGCAGAAGAACACAAGCCAGCCTTGCTGGATTGGACCCCTGGCCCATCTAACCTACCAGTCTGTTTCCACAGTGGCCAATAACTGCACAAGCCCACAAACCTCCCAGCAGAGGGCCTTCAGAGACAATCCCACCACCATCGAGGCTGATCGCCCTTAATCCCCATCGCTTTCATTAATTGATCTAGCCCTCTAGTCCCCCTTTTCTGACCCAGTCTTTGTGAGTAATGATAACTACTTATCCATGAGTAAAAACCCCTCAGGTTGGAAGGTGTCCAATATGCTACTGGGGAAGAGCAGAGGCCTAGTATTAGTAGCACCAGAAAGAGTGAAGCGACTGGGCCAAAGCCAAAAGGACGCTCAGCTGTGGATGCATCTGGTGGTGAAAGGAAAGTCTGATGCTGTAAAGATCTTTTCTCCCTAGGAACCTGGAATGTAAGATCCATGAATCAAGGCAAACTGCTGATTGGTTCAAAATTGGGAAAGGAGTCCGGCAAGGCTGTATTCTGTCACCCTGCCTATTTAACTTATATGCAGAGCACATCATGAGAAAGGCAGGGCTAGATGAATCAAAAGTTGGAATTAAGGGACTTCCGGTTCCAGGTTGCAGTGTGTGCAGTCGCACGGAGAGACACTTCTCTTCGTTAGCTGCTTTCCCTCTGCCGGTAGACCCTTAATCAGGTCAAAATGTCGCCCTGGAGGGGCCACTACTGAGGAGGAGGACTCTTATCAATCACAGGGGGAGGCGGCAGCTCCTTCCACGGTCCGAGGCTGCTCCTCAGGGCCGACAGAGAAAAGATCGGCCAGTAACATGGCCGATCATTTAGCTGCACCAGCCAAAAGTCAAAAGAACACCTAAGTGTTAAGAAACCACTGTGGATGATCTGGGTGAGACCTTTCCCCCTCTCTCTTTGCCCTAATTACTTTCCTGTTAAAATCCTTCTGGAATCATTTCCCTGCTTTGAAAGAACTGCCTTTGTCTATCCGGGAAAGAGAACTTTAACAAAAGAACAAAAGAAAAAAAAGTTAACTTCTTATTGACTATTTTTATTTTTGGTCACTTTGGGGCCCGGGAAAAAGCTCAATCATAGAACTTTATTATTATATCTATTGCTGGAGAATATTGTTTTCCTATTTCTTGGATTTATTTTTTTAAAAGGGATAAATCTTTATTGTTTGAAAAAAAAACTTTGTTGCAGTGGTTCTCAATCTTTCCAATGCCACGACCCCAACCATGAGGACTACCTGTATTTCCCTGCGGGTGGGGCAGGAGGAGGCGCGCACGCTCCGCCTCCTCTCCTGCGACTGCACATGGGTGTTCACCCAGCAACCGCCTCGGCCCGGGAGCACCGCACATGCGTGGTGCTGCCCCCTGCGCCGGCTGAGGCATAGCTGGCAAGTGGCAGCGACGGT